GGGGAGGAGGGGGTGTAATTTTCTGCTTGTCTGCATACGAGGGTGACTTATGCCCCGACTCTCTTCCTTCCTTCCTTTCTCTGATGTATGCAGATATGAGCGAGGACACACACACACACACACACACACACACACACACACACACACACACACACACACACACACACACACACACACACACACACACACACACACACAGCTGCAGAGGGGTTTTCTCTCTGGTATGTTTCCTCTGCAGCTGAAAGGCCGAAGTGATGAGAAGAAAAGTGAAAGAAAACCAAATTTTCTCCCTGCATGACCTCTAATCAGTTGTAAATTCTCTGTATTGAAATCTTCTCTGACACAAGAGAGATGTCATGCGGGCTTTGGTGTAAACCACATTCACACCCTCGGTGTTGAGATGGTAGTTCAGGGTCTCACGGGTATCATAGAAAGTATTTAAAAGGAGGAGGAATTGGTTTCAGTAGAAACAGAAATATCTTTTTGTTTGTATGAACTTCACAGTGTTTGTTTCTGAAAAAAATAACTAAGCGACTGATTGCAAAAAACAATTATAGGAATAATAAAAAAAAAGCAGCAATTTGTTAGCATAGCACTTTAGGGATTATTAGTGGCCCCAGGGGATGATGAGACAATCAGAAGATCTATCAATCTTTATTTTTTTACAGCGCCCGTTCATAACAGATGACACTCTGAGTCTTTCTCTTCATGTCGTCAGTCTGTGAAACCTACAGAGCAGTAAAACCTCCTTATTTATCTGATACTGACGTCTGTAAAAACTCTTATTTCAGCCTCTGCTTGAAACGGTTCATTTCAGCCGCTGTCTCTTTAAAGGCCGCCCTGCCAACGTGCCCCCTTTCTTCTGATTGGTCAGCTCTCTAGAAGCTTCTTCATGAGCCAGTTGTTTGAGAAGAATTTCAAACCAATGACTTCAAATTGAACATTCAAAAATGATACAACCTCATGCTTTCCAATTTCAAGCTTTGGTGGGAGTTTGAGCCTGAAGCATTGACTACATAGAAACATTAAAAAATAGTCTTCACCTCTCTTCATACAACAGTGAAGCAAAAATATCCCTCCCAGTTGAGCCACGGTGTTGACTTCCCGCCCCTTTCGCTGACCATAACACACAGTTAACCTCCTGATAAAACCAAGGTCCCTCAGGTGGTCTCAGCCCACAGCAGAACAGGTTCTTGTGTCAGGTTGGGGGAGACACTCGATTCTTGTGTTAGTGTTCGTACAGTCCTCCTTTACTCAGATAATCCGGTTCACACAGCAACGCAGGGGACTCATAACGCTTTTTATAACATGAAAAAACACATTTAAAGAAGAATTACTCAGAAAATATAAACTTTGACTAAAATGAGGATAAGAACTACTGTAGCTAAATTTATTAAACGTGCTTTTTGATTTTCGTTTGACCCCTGTCCAGATGGCGGAGGCGGAGCCTGATTACCTATACTGCAACCAATCACTAGGGGCAGCGCTAAATGATTTGGCTTCACTTTTGAGGGAGCAGCCATGTCGTCCATCTTTTTATACATTCAAAGCTTCAAAGTAATATTGCACTATAGCTGGCTTAAAAAACGATCTTTTCACATTGCATTCAAAGCTTTACAATTAAAAAAAAGACTCTCAGCTAACTTCTAACTATGCTAGGGATAGCATCGTGTTTGTTTCTCACCTTTTAGCGGCCAATTTGAATAAATTATCTGCAGTTGGCAAAGCTTTTTATTCTGACTCACACGTGAAGTTTTTTGTGTGTGGAGTCAGGCAGAGGTCTCTTAAAAACGAGCTCTGCAGCATTCAGTCAATAAGTGCATTTTAACTATTTCAAGCCAGTTTTAACACACCAGTATAGAATGTGGGAGGCCTTGTTAAGGAGCCCTCAGGGTCACTGGTTCCTGCTGTAAGAATAACCGGTGTAAGCTGTCTAGTTTCCTTCTGTTTTTCTCTCTCTTATCGGCCCTCTGTGGGCCGAGCCTCTCCTTCACGGGAACCTTGACAGAGGCCCGTTATTCTCTCTCCCCCATCTTGTTTATGTGTTTACCGCAGCACACTCACATCCTCCCCTAAATGATAGCCCCTGTACTGTCAGCACACAGGAGTCGAATTAGAGAGCGAGGCAGACCAGCATGGCTCACTCACTCACTCGCTCACTCGCTCGCTCGCTCACTCCGAAGCTTCAGGGAAGGCTGGAGCTGCAATCAGAGGAAATTCTGATCTTTTTTCTGCTTTGTCATGATCAGCGCGGGATATTAGAGGAAGATGATGCTACTGCAGCACCCAGATTGTGTTGTTTTTACCTGAGAGAGAGAGAGAGAGAGGGAGAGAGAGAGAGAGAGAGAGAGAGAGGGAGGGGGGGAGAGTGAGAGAGAGAGGGAGAGAGAGAGAAGGGGGAGAGAGAGAGAGAGGGAGAGAGAGAGGAGAGAGAGAGGGAGAGAGAGGGAGAGAGAGAGAGAGGGGAGAAAGAGAGAGGGAGAGAGAAAGAGAGGGGAGAGAGAGAGGGAGAGGGAGAGAGAGAGGGGGAGGAGAGAGAGAGGGAGAGGGAGAGAGAGGGGGGGAGAGAGAGAGAGAGGGGGAGAGAGAGAGAGAGGGGGAGAGAAGCATCTGGAACGAGGCCAGTGCTTCTCCTGCTGCTGTACACCAGCTTTCTAATCTAGCCTGAATAAAAGAGCAGACATGATGGAGGCTCCCTCAAACATGAGAAACAACATCAGGCACGGTCCACATGTCCTGCCATCCGCTTTAATATCTGTGAGGTGAGAGAGTGTTAATGCATGGCATATCATCTCATGTGTTTGCATAATTAATGACCTTATTATTGATGCCATACGGCCGGCTCTGGAACACATGTGGCACAATGTGTGTGACGATCTGAATCTAGTCATCAATCTGTTCTTTTGATGATTTGAGCAAAGCTGCTCTTAAGATCTGAGAGCTCCGTGTGTGTGTGTGTGTGTGTGTGTGTGTGTGTGTGTACACATGCTCTGAAGTGTCCGGGTGTTTGCTTATTCATGTTCCTTTAAAAGTCTAATCATGATATTGTTCAGCTTTCTGATCATCTGTTTGCCGTTGCTTTCTGTTCTTCTTTGATTCACGTCTTTGTTTTGACATAAAAAATATTAAAATAACACAGAAGATTACATTTTAAAGGTCGTATATCATGCAAAATAATCATGGGTCTAAAAGTCTACAAACCCGCCAATCATGGGGAAAGTCCATCCTCTCCATCGTTACTGGATTGGGAGGATCAACCACATCTTCTCAAAGCATACATTACCCATAAGCCACCTACTTAAAGGCACAGGTAGCGTTTGACAAACTGCTGAAAATAACCCACGCTGGGCCGATGTCAAAATCCAGGGCGGACTCAATTAAATCTGTAATATTGATGTTTTTCTGTGTTACTCAATGATAAAACTTCCCTTCCTACTGTATATGTACGGTGGCCGGTAAGGGTCACATGCTCAGCAACTGCTGAAACGACGCACATTTAGAAAAACACTCAGCATATTCAGAAAGGCTGAACATTCAAAAGCAAATGCAAACACCTGAAACAAATGAAACAAATGAAACTGCTGAGACGTGTTAAAGGCAAAAAGGCAAAACAACTGCATCAACATCAAAATGCTGCAAATTGGGATGCTGGTGGTGCAGTGGTGCAGTGGTTAGTGCGGGCGCGGCCCATGTATGGAAGCTGGGCAGGCCAGGTTCAAATCTGACCTGTGGCTCCTTTCCTGCATGTCATTCCCCTCTCTATCTCTCTCTCTGATTTCCGACTCTATCCACTGTCCTGTCTCTACAATAAAGCCACAAAAGGCCCAAAAATAAATCTTTAAAAAAACGCTGCAAGCTCAGCCTTTTAACGGAAGTGCTCCAGGCCTGTAGGGGGCGCTCTGTGGAGATGTTTATTTACAGGAGAGAGAAAGAGAGAAAGCTAGGTGCAGACTGTTTTGTTTAGGAAAGGAAGGCGTGGTACTCTATGTCTCCAAAATATAATTAGAGTGACTTCTGCTTCGGTTTAATGGATGTTCTAAGATCTCAGCGTTTAGTCTGATCAGATTAATGTTGTTGTTCCTGTCAGAAGTCGAAGCCAAAAACTATCAAAATAAGAGCCTCGTGTTGTAACTAACCAGATTTCCCCCTTTAATAGTTCCACGTAAAAACAAGGAAAGTAATTTCACCCTGTGGACGGCTCCATACCTCAGCTCAAAAAAAAAAGAATAATGAGGTTGAGATTGTTGTTGCTTCATCCTTCCTGCTTTTCTCCGACGCTCCTCGAGTCCCGGTGGTGTCTCGGGGAGGAGGAATTTAATTTCAAAGTGTTGCAGCAGATTAAATCAGTTTTTTAACGTTGAAGTCGCTGCTGTAATGCATGTTCTCAATAACTGGCAGCCGGCGATGTAAAGGGTCTGGATGTTTTAAAAATAAACTCTGAAATCTCTGCATGATGTGTGTCCAAAACCTGCAATTACAAAACCAAGGAGTGTGTGTGTCGACGAGGGATTGACTGACCTTGACATGAAACAGACAAAAACATCGAGCGCACTTTGGATTCTTCACGCTTCTTCTTCTTCTATCACACCTAAGCAGTCGTGTTTGTTTACATCATCACTGGACCGCCCGGGGGAGAAGGGTTATTTTTACGCTGATGTGCTTTGTTTTGGATGATTGTTGTTGCAAAAAGGCGGGAAGCGTTGAGGTTTGCTCGGGGAGTGACGGAGGAGAAGGAGAAGGTAACGCGGAGGATGGATGTGTGTGAGAACAGAGGGGTTTCTCAGGCTGCCTCGCAGGGGGTTGCCAGTCTGAAATTATTTTTTCATGCGTCTCTCTCTCTCTCTCTCTCTCCCTTCTCGTATTTGTGTTGTCCTTCTCTGAAGTGTAACTCTTCAGGAAGTCGGTGGGTTTCATGATTTCAAGGTGCTGGAGGTTGTTAAACATCTCCACCGATTGCAAATGAGTAACACGTCTTTATCTCTGTGTGCTTCAATTTACAGACGTCTCCGAGGTCAACAACACCGGCACCAGCAATGGAGGTAAATATTTTTTGACATAGACCGTATTTAAGAAGTGGACAGAGCCGCGGTGACATCACAGATTTGTTTGTGTCCTTGATTTTGGCCTTTTGGTGGGCGCCCAAACTGGTTCATGATTCAGACCAGCGCAAACGATCTACAGGTGTGAAAACGCCATGCTGATTTTAAAACCATTGATTTAGACCATGAACTCACTTGAAAATGTTTACTGAGGTAATAAATCAGCAGTCAGACCTGCTGTAGTCTCCTCCTGCTGGCCATTAGAAAAAAATGCAGGTTTAAGGCACTGCTGCGTTTGCTCCACTTTTTTCAAACCCGAGGCTACGACCACATCTTTAAAAAAAGTCTTTTGGTTTTTTCCTCATGAGCTACTCTCCTCTGAGTGCTGTGAAGCATCACTGAGATCCTGCCACAGCTGCCCACGTCTTCTCCTCCATTTCTTGCTCTCCTGCTTCTGCTGCTCACAGGTGGATGTTTCTGTCAACGCATCTGCCTGCATTCATAAAACCTCACAGAACATTTTAACAGTTTGCATCGGAGGTGCTTTCATTTCAGTGTCAGGAGCTACAGCAAGAATCAGAGGTCAAGATATGGTCTAAAGTTTGTTAAAGGAGCAGTATGTAACTCTGACCCCTAGTGTTTAAAATGGGTACTTCAGTCTAAATTTTAAACAATAGATAGATAGATACTTTACTGATCCTGAGGGAAATTCAAAGTGTTGTTGTGAGATTGTAGAGAGCTGTCCCCCCCCCCCCTCTCTAGAGTGGATGCTCACACAGGTCACCATGTGGTGGACTCTGAAGCTTCAGTGTTTATCCAGCTCTGCATGGGTCTGTAAACCTTTCTGTGTTCTAACCTCTCTCCATTTTTCAAAAGCATCTCCAATATTGATCCTAGTTTGAGCACGTTTCTGCTCGTGGAGCTTATTAGAAACATGCAGAGGCTTTTTAGGTCGGGTACAATCACTTCTATCTGAACCACTTCTCTTGACCGCTTCCATCGCTGCAACACCTGTTGACCTGATAACTGCTCTCATATCTGGCAAACCGAGGGGCGTCCAAAACGGTCGTGTGGGGGGGGTCTTAAAACCACCTACCTTCTCTGGTCCAAACAAATCCAGAGCATTCAGGAGCAGAATCTAAAGTTAGAAGGAGGACATACTGGCTGCTGCATTGTTGTCAGAGAAGCCAGTACTTCAACATAGCATGTTTCCTTAATGATCAGATAGTAAGATACCTTTATCATTTCACTGCAGTTCTTACTGATTGTAATAATAATTTAAGGGTTAAAAACACTTCAATGAGATACTCAGATTTTCATTGTAAATGAAATCCGGTACATTCTTGTCACCTTCATTCACTATAAACTCATTCAGCTTGATTCACACGCTTGGAGTGGAACAGATATTGATTTGGCATACTGATTATTTCCTGCACAGTATGATGGGAAACTGAATGCTTGATTATGAATACCTCTCCTCATATATTCCTCTCCTCTCCTCTCCTCTCGTCTAGAAGAGATCAAAGAGCGCGTGGAGAGCCCAGAAGAACCGGATTCAATTCTAACCGACAGCAATCAGTCCAAAGGTAAGGGCCACGGGAGAGGCTCTCACGCTCGCTCACCGCCACGCTCTTACCTCACACACGTCTCTATTTATAAGCAGATCCTTATTAGCGGCCGCAGCTGCTGAATTATAATTCACTTCTCCCTGAGAATCCTCAGCGCTGTGCAGCCGAGTGTTACTCAGCGTCGCCCTCCTTGTCTTCGTCTTTCCTCCCCTCGTCTGTCTCTATCTTCCTCCTCTCTGTAGGGGGAGGACGTGCTCCTCCAGGGCCGAACGCATTTGTGAATCCTCTTTTTCCCCGTCTCAGGTCCGCAGCTACGACCCTGATATTCAGGTTTAAATGTGTCAGCATGTCTTTGGAGATTGAGTGTGATAAATTACCTGCAAACTCCACTATCAGACGTTTAATAAATCAAGCGTGCATTGCATATTATTTTAACATGCAGCCAACACAAACTGCAGGGGTAATAATCACGCCAATAAATCATATTTGAGATGGATACCACACTGTTGTTATTCTCTGGTCTGCGTGGGGGATTCTGGGTAATAAGACAGCATGTAATTTGAATGTAAGCATCGGGCGGAGAGTGCTCTGAATTTCTATGTTTGATTCGTTCTGTGTGTGTGGCTCATCGGAGTTGTTCAGCCAAGGGAATGGGATTCAGAATTTGGGCAGAGCACACTTTCCAGGTAGAAAAAAAAAATGATTTCATTAAGCAACTGTTGTGAACAGATTGTCAGGGTTGAATAAATAGGACAGCAGAGCAGCATATGAAATAAGTTGGCAGCGACTAACGAGGCGGTGTAGAAAAGGAGAGAGCTTTAAACAATGCCAGACAAAAGCGCCAGAGAAGAAGAAGAAAAAAAAAAAGAAAAGCTTGTTGTCGAACACGCGCGAGGATCAGGGCGGGGTGTGAAGGAGGGGAGTGGAACATACTGTGTCGTTAAAAAAGAAGCCAAAAAGTACGATATCAAAACACATGACACTGGGCTAACACTACATTCGGCCCCTGTTCTGATATTCAGAGCAGAATGTCTTGTTTTTGGACCAAAATCTTAAGTGATTACATCCCGGAGAATGTTGGAAAAATATTCCTGGTCCCAAGAGCTTGTGTCATAATCATTTTGGTGCCACAATCAGCTCTGATTTTTTCCCTTTTTTACAACTTTTCTTTTCATAGTGAAGCAAACTGGAAACCGTTCACTGGTGTCGCATGATGTTTGATGATATTTATCCTCATCAGAAAGAATTGAAATTCCCCTGAGCCTGAATAACCATTTTCCAATTAATGCCACTTTGTTAGCAAAAGATCAAGAGTGCAATTTTTGTTTTGTTGATTCTTAAATATATTTTTTGCCTTCATCGGATAGGACAGCTGAAGAGACACAGGAAATGTTGTGAGGAGAGAGATCGGGGGGGTGACATGCAGTAAAGGGTTGAGGTCGGATTCTAACCATGTTCTTATGTGACATAACTGTTCGGCTGTCTGGCGCCCTAAGAGTGCATTTTTGTTGAATAGTGACAACTTAGGATAAAAAAATCAAGACCTAATGTCCTCGTCCGCTTCCTTCCGTAAGTCTGATCCGCCCTGTGCCTACATGTTTACGACTTGTCAGATGTTTTGTTAAAGGAAGAATGTGCAACGGCATGAAACCAAAACAAACTGCTGTTAGGCCACGCCTCCTCCATACTGAAGCCTCCACTCTCCTCCAGAGACACACCTCCAACCCCTCTCTACACTCACGTTCACACAGGACTCAAGCACAAGCAGTGGACAAAATCGTCCTTTGCTCGAGCTGCATTGTTGTGTTAGCATGCTAATGTTAGCGCTCTGTAGTTAGCTCGTAGCTTCACATTGTTGTGTTAGCATGCTAATGTTAGCGCTCTTTAGTTAGCTCGTAGCTTCACATTTCATGTAAACTGACACAGAATGAGCGTGATCTAAAAACTCTTACTAACATCCAAATAATCAGTGAGTATGTTCTTCTTCTTCTCTCTAGTTCTTGACTAAAACAGCTTTTATACACAAGGGGAGGAGCCGGCCGTCCCGTCCATGTAAACACGGCTCTGACAACAACACAGCCAGCGGGACTCGAGCTTCTCCCTCACTGTAGACAGTCAGGACTCAGAGACACATTTACACAGGACAGACTTTATGATTTATTTATGTGGAACATGTCGATCATTCTGCCTTTAATATAAAATGTAATTCACCCTGCAGATTGTATTTAATGCTGAAAATTGGTTTAATATGAACATGAATGTCTTTGTTTCCTCTTCAGACACTGTTGAGAAGAAAGAATGACCAGCTGAGGGACGAACGATCAACCTCATCTGACAGCCAGCAAACTGTGCGAAGCCAACCACCCCGGTGTCAGCCCGGCCAATGTCAGAACGGGCTCTGACACCGGACCCAGGACAACCCAGATACTCACACCATGCTCACATCCCCCCTCCTTCATTTAGCCCTCGTCCCTCTTTGTTAAGAAAACTACTCACCCCCTCTACTCTGTATGTACTGTATGTATATGTATGTATGTACAAAACCTTACTATAGGATTGAACATATCAAGCAGAAAAGAAGAGCCATACCTCACTGTGTGTTAAGAGTCATACTTCATTTTGCAGGCTGGGTGCGGTGTCTCTTTGTTTCATATTTTAACCCACTGTGGGAGTCACACGGCCACAGATTAACACGCTGTGGGTGATGCTTTACATGCGAGTGCGACACGCTGACACCTGCCCTGTCACCTCACACACCTGCAGCTCCAGTGTTTAGCTACATCAGCCGATATTTGGATCCGGGCCGCAGTCTGCGAGGTGCAGGACTGTCTAACTCCTTCATTTAACTGTTCATCAGCACCCACGCACGCTAAAGAGGATGTGAGCGTCTTTTTCACAAATCAAATCCCCCAACCCACCCCCCCCACACCCCCCACCACCACCACCACCCTCCCGTTTTTTCGTTGCAGTTTCCAGTGCATGCTAGAAAAATTTGCTTTAAAGTTCACCAACACAAACAGGAATTAAAGTCCTCTTTCGCTTTCGCTTCTCTCCTTATCAGATTGTCTCTAATTGTATGGAAGGAATCTGCCTTATTTCATATCGAACTAAATAAGTCTAAACCACACGCCCGAGGAGGAGGAGGTGGTGGAAGTGTGAAACCCTTTGGTTTGTGTAATGCTTGCAGATGATTTGTAATTTTAAGACCTTCATGTTACGACTAACACCCGTTGTTAATGATTTTTCTCCTCTGTTGATTTTAAAAAACAAAAAAAAATGTATTTCTTTGAAATGTCGGTATGATTAGTGGGTTCTTTTCAGAGGTGCCATAGTCAAGATCAGATGAATTAAAGTTCTATGAAATGATGCCTTCATACTTTGATGTTTTGCTTTGCTAAACTATAACAGAAACAACTAATAAAGTTTAAGGTGGAAGCCAAGTCTCAGCTCGTCTTGTACCTTCTTGTCTCGTTTCT